CCTCTTCTCCGTGGTGCCCAGCAACAGGACAAGAGGCAATGGGCAGAAACTGAACCACAGGCAGTTCCACCTGAACCTGAGAAAAAACTTCTTCACTGTGAGGGTGACAGAGCATTGGAACAGGTTGCCCAGAGAGGTAGTGGAGTCTCCTTCGCTGGAGATATTCAAAACCCGCCTGGATGTGATCCTGGGCAATCTGCTCTAGGTGACCCTGCTGGAGCAGGGAGGTTGGACTAGATGATCTCCAGAGGTCCCTTCCAACCTAAACGATTCTGTGATTCTGTGACTCTGTGACATAGTCTGTCCACATGTGCTCCTATAGTGTACTTCTTATGGACATTCTTAGTCAAAAAGAATTGTAATTCTTCTTGCATAGCGTGGGTAGTTCTAATTTTTAGATTTTTTTATCAGATTTTGGTAGCATTCACAGAGTGGTAGCAGCTTTTCATACATTAGGCATGCTATGTTTCTCAGACCAGTAGCTTAAAGATTTTAATCATGTATGAGAACCTGCTAGTATGGACCCCTACTCTACTGATGTCAGAGAGTTACATGTCAAATCCCTTGTGCTATCTGAGTTTCTTTAGAATCGGTGTTTGTGTCTTAGGATGTTATGTGATTAATGCGTTTTAGATTTTTCATGTATTTTATCCTAAGAGTACTGTTTCAATAAAAGGGTTTCTAGGACAGTTAGAGCGGAGGGAAATCATTCAAACTGTGTAACATGAAAACCGCTGCAGTTTATGGAGGTCATGGAAATTTATGTCTCTTATCCCCAGATAATGCACTGACAAGTTAATTCAGATCTACTACTTTATACTTTTTTAAAAAATAGATAATTTTAGCTAAGTTCAGAGCAAGATTATAACACCAGTCCCCTACCCAGTGATTCCCAGAAGAAATTATGGTAACTGTCTTCTCCCTGAGGTGAGATAGTAAATCTACCAAAAATATTTTTGTCTTTTTTCAAGTTTGAGTTTAATCAGTACATATGGTCAAAGTATTAAGATGCTAAAGAGGAACATGTTTGTGTAGTTAGGCATCTGAAAATGCACACCTCTCCTTCAACTTCCTTTTCTGTCTTGATGTTGTCATGGCATGTGAATTAGCAAAATGGGCCAAATGATGGTTTTGCTTATATTCATGTTTTGTGATATCACAGGATTTAAGTGCGTATAGATGTAGAATTTGTCCGAAGCATCTATGAAAAAAGTGCTACTTTGGATAGGGAAACAGAATCCTACATTGCTGTGACGTAAGAGAGTGACTTTGTTTAGTGAAAAGTAATGTATTAGGGTTGATTATGCTATTGAACACATGCAAATGTAGATGCGAGTATAAATGACCAGTGTGATTGTGTATATTTACACACTTATATCTAGGTTTTATGTTTGTATACATAAGTATATATATTCTAGTAATTTGTATGCTTATGTAGTCAACAGTAGTATCAGCTCTATATAAGCTGCTCTTTGGAAGCCATTTGAAAAAGGTGTTGTGCAGACTTAGAACGGAATACAATCCTTTCTTAAAAAACATATAATTAATCTCAGCATTAATCTGTGATTGTATTTAGTGCTAAATATCAAGAAAAAGTTAAGAAGAGTGGGAAAATCTTTTTATGGTAGTGAAGAAACATTAATTTTTCAGTGGTGTTTAATGTAAAATTTCTCTGTAACACCATGGATCTATCCCTCTACTTCATCTCAGACCTCATCAAGCTCTTCTTCTACAGTTACAAAAAGCCTTTCTTATTCACCTGTAATTCAGTGACCTACAGTTCTTTCAGTAATAACTTTCTTTTTAAGGATCTGTGCAGATTTTACTTTGATCTGTACTAGGTACTAGTATGATGTTGTGCAGTGAATAAGTTACTTACAGTAATGTCTGGAGCATTCCAAATCATAGTCTTTTAAGATAAATATAAATATGTATGTGTTATGTCAGAGAAATATTGAAGGTAATGAAAGTTGGATGTGGCAATTATGGGAAGAACTACAAAAGAAGAAGCAAAAAGAGATGAATGCAGTTCAACTGACAATCATAAGTAGAAAATATAATTTAACTTTCTTTTTTAGAGCTATGTTGAAGGTAAAAAGCTAGATGGGAGCCATTAGCTTTTAACGATTTATAATGCTTTTAAGAGCTTCCATACAACGAGCAAAGAAAAGAGGAAAGGTATTGGTCTATAATTCAGAGAAGGTCGTTCCCATTTAGGCATAGAAAAAGTATTCTCCAAGGTGTTTATCTTTAAACTCTTTATAACACAAATAGAGGTTTGATCAAAGGAAATTAAGGAAGTTACACAGTTAAATTTGTGCTTTTCTTTCAGCAAAATATCAGCCCAGGTCTAGCTCTAAATCGGTATGTTGATGTGCAGAGGCACACATTTAGAATGACGCAGAGGTTTCTTTTGAGATTTTTTTCATTAGCACCTAGTGCTATCGAATTAAGCCTAACATAAAGTAAATTAGCATAGTACATGCGTTGTTAAATTTCAAAAGGACAACGATATGCGCAAATATGTAAAGAGAAGTCTAAAACTGAAATGCATATATATCTCCTCAATCTAACTGAGAACAAAGCTTAATATATAATAATATTTGGTAAGGGAAGCGTATACTCTTGGAACTGATATTAGGCTTTCTAAATACTATTATTTTCTTTAAACACTATCCTTGCACCCAAATGATTTCATTATCTACAGATAATGGGAGAAAAGGATCATCGGTGCACATTCAATTGCAATGGTGCTATTAGTGATTGTGTTGTGTATGTATACTACCCAGAGTCTCTAATGGAATTACAGAAAAGCGTCCAACTTTGGTGAGGTTTTCTCACTAACGATTAAACAGAAAACTAGATTAAACTACAAAGGTAGCCTACATTTTTGTTACCAGGTGAGCATAACTATAGCTGTTGAGGAAATCCTGCCCTCACAGCAAGCTCGACAAGAGAGGTGTGACATGGCTCTTGCAGGGTTTAGAGAGACAAGAATAGAATGAGAGGCTGGTGGGAGAAGGGAAGTAGAGCTTTGAGGGGCCTTTTGGTGGTGAGGCTAACAGGAGTTAATAAAGTTTGGAGGCCTCTGAAAGACTTTGTATAGGATAAAGAGGATAGAATCTTACTCTCTCTTTCATATTTTGCCCCTCCCTCTTTCAATACACAACCTTCATTTCTAGCAACCTCAGGCCAACCCCATTCTAGCACTGGCAGACACCATCCTGCTCCTTGTCTGTTCGGCTCGTACTCCCTACCAAAAATCCTACCGTTTACTCTGCAGCAAGCCGTCTGTCACCAGTTTCTTCCTTGTATCCATCCAACCTTCTTCTTCAACTGCTTTCCTCAGATCTTGAGGTAAGTAAATCAAAGGGATTATGAAAAACTTTCTTTAGCTCCCTAACGGAAATTCTAATTTTTATAGTGAAATTTCTAGCTCATATGGCAGAGATTAGCAGTATGATATAATGCATTTTTCCTCTGTTGATGTTCAGACAGACAAATGAAAATATTAATTTTGATCTATGAAAGAAAGTAGTAGGCTAATCTGGAACAAAATGACTGCATACATTAAGTCTTCACATAATGAAAGAAGACTGTTCACCAGGTTCTAGCCTCAATCAACACAATATTTAGGAAAGGAACTACATAAAAATGGAACTTCTCAGAAATTTATAGAAACTCACTTGCTGTAACCCTGTAAGTATGATCGTTGATATTACTAGAGCACTGGAAAGAAGAGTAGATACAAAGGAGGATTTTTTGTGTAGGAATTTTAACTAATTAATGCAGCTTTTTTATTAATTAGATAATTTGGACTATTGGACTGTAAAAACTTTATTGGCCTAACAACAAGTTCTTATCTCCTTATATAAGGAATGCCCCCTTTGGCCCATGACAAAATTCTGAGTGTAAGATTGCCTTAAAAATTCCTTCAGTTTGGCCACCTGGAACAGGGAGGTGTGGAAAGTAAAGTGTTATCATGGTATAAATGAAGAAATCTAAAGTGGCCTCAGTATGGATTTACAGATTGACAGATGCTCCATCAAGAGTGAAAGACTCAAAACTCACTAAACAGAATGAATGTCTTTGGACTAGGGCCTAGAAAGTGGGGTCAGTGTTTTAGTCAGCTCTGTGTAGCGATTCCCCATTCCTCTCTGGACTGAGATTGATTGGCTGCCTTTCAAAAATATGTTTTTCTTTCAGGCAGTTAGGACTTTTGGGTAATGACTTTAAGGGCAAATCTGAAATGGTATGTAGTCATCTAAAACAATTTATGTGGAATTTAGGCATTAATGTTCAATAGAGCACTTCAAAGAAATAAAACAAGCAAAACATGCCAGAGGAGCTATAGGCATCTAAAGCTGTGCTGTCTCTTCTGCTCAGCTCTCCTTTCTAAGGCCTCCTTATAGGATTAACGAACTGTGTTTCCCTATGTCTATGTCGGGTAATCTTCAAGGTGCAGAGCACAGCTAGCCTACTGGCAGCACTGAGTTCACCAACTGCAGCGTGCTGTTTGAATAGTAGTCTGGCACTGAGGACTTTGCAAGGACTAGAACTGAATTCTGGACTCTCCTCTGCCCAAGAGGACACGGTTGCAGCAGCAAGGGCCTCTGCTGCACCGTGTGAGTATCTTCTGCCCTTCCTGTTGAGGTGGTGTCATTGGGCAGCTACAGAAAAAAGCATCAAGTATTAATCTGGAGTAGAAAGGTAAGAGCTTAGGAGTTAGGACATTCAAGCATTAAGGGGAAGTTCAAGCTATGAGTAGTAGCTCTAAGCCCATTTAGACAGAAGAGAGTATGAACCTGTTTTTCTTCCACTTTCTGTAGAAATGCTTGCTACTGATTTGGAACAGTTTTTATTTGTGTTGTGCTTTATAATTATTTCTACATTCTTTTGAAAAGAGAGAAAATGGTGGTTATCCCTTTTATGGGCCTTGGAAAGCTCTCATTTCAGCCAGATGCTGTCCTTTAGTTGGTGAGCAGACTGGCTGAAATACGCACAGATTCTTTTCCATCCCTCACAAATACTTTTAGTATTCAATAATATAAATAATATGAATATTATTGTTGTAAGTGCTGCTGTTCTACTAGGTCTTGATGGGTGGGTAAGAATAGCAATCTTAAATTTAAAAAGGAATACTAGTGTAACTCTGGTGGGAACCTCTTCACCCACAAGCACTGGAAAAAATAGCACTAAACTTTGAAGTACTCAGGATGAGTCTGCATTAAGAATTTATCTCAAAACAGGCATGAACTTGGAAGTGAATCTCCCCTCCGCTTACTGGCTTGTATTTTACATTGAAGAACGTAAACTGAAAGCTGTCCTCCAGGCATGCATCTGTGTGCCCCGATAGTTAATGAATGCCAAGTCCATGGAACCAGACTACAGATTGATTGAGGTAAAATCACTGAACTGCATACGTGTATCATGCAGACGTTGTGTCCTCAGCATCAACTGCTTCACCCTACGTACGGTTCTGCTTCTCTCTCTCCATGCTACTCGTTTAATGTAGACACAGCCCCACATACAAATGCGAATTTGATTAATAGATAACATTTTATTAAAGGGGAAGTAAAACCGCAGCAAACTAGATAGATAGGGTGACATAGGTACTTAATTCCTAACGTATAACTATTATGTAGTCTTTTTCTTCACTGAGGCATATGCTAGGACAGCTGCTTGCTTCTGCTTTTGTGTACTTAGGCTAACTCATAGCAAGACGTGAGTTTTTGTAACCTGTCCTGCTGGGTAACAAAGTACAATTTAAGTTACCACAGATTTTGTGATGTGAGCTGCTCTTACTTGCTTGCCTATTCAACTAGCCACTCCGTTCCTCTCTCCACTAGCCTCTCTAGCTAAATATTTGCCGTTAGTTTCTGTTACTTCAGCTGTTGAGTTAAAGTGCATACAGTATTTAGGAATTAGCCTTCTTTTATAAGATGGATTCTGAAGTTCTTCTTATACTTCATAGGTGATTCTTAAACAGGTTCTTTCACTTCACAGGGTACAGTAGACTCCTGAAGAAAAAACTACTTGGAAAAAAAAAAAAAACTTGCACCCTGCTGCTGGAAGCGGTTGCCTTGTATCAGTGTTTCTGGGATAAGTAAACAGACTCTAAAGTATAATTGATTGGCCTAGAAATGCATGCACTGTTGTAACTTGGATTTTCCTCTGCTTTGCCTCCTTTGTAATGGAATGGCTTTTAAACATACGTAACATATGCAAGTGAACATTCCAGAGGCTCCCATTAGGTCTGTTCACTTTATTTGGTCTTCACTAGTCCTTTCCTTTTCTTGCAGCCCTGTCCCCTTTGAAACTTTGGGCCATGGCATTTGTTTTCTCTTTGGGGACTTGACCAACATGTTTTACATAAGATTCAACTCAAAGTTCACATTAAACAGCAGCTGCAAACATTACAGTCAGCTGTACATTATCGTATACAAGGTGAGCGTCATTTCCACAGATGCCACTATCTTAAACTTAATTCTGCTAACGTGTTAGGTTTGGTCTGCACATACTTAAAAGACCTTTCAGGCCCCTTTGGTCAGTGTTTAGGTGCGCACTTGCCTGTCTCAAATATAAATTATCTTGGGAGCAAGGAGCTCATGCTCGGATGCTTCTCAGAGTGGAAAGATGCCTGTATTAGATACACTTTTGCTGCATACAGGTGGTGGTTTACTCAGACTTTGGTTTTCTAGTTTTGGGTATCAGCAGCCAGTAGTCACCTGCTTGGGCATGGATAACAGCCTCCCAAGGGGATTATTTGAGTTCTGTACTAGGTAATTTAGTTACTGGCTTTTGAATCATAATTTGCCTTAGTCTGGCTGCTTTTGGTGTCCCAGCTGACTGGCTGATGTGAACGCTCTTAGGTATTTAATCCTCTGTATTTAATACAAATGATTTAAGGACCTTATTCTGCATTGTCATTTTTAACACTGAAGCACTGATCGCATTCCATTTTGAGGTTAGGTGTATATTATCGGACTGAGATGCTGTCAATGTCTTTTATGTAAAGCAATATAAATCAAGTCCAGAAAAAAGCATAATGTGATGCCATGCACTTTGAAGAAACCTATTACATGACTTTGGGTGGAGTGCTGCTGTTTGACAACTATATGGATTTGTTCCAAACAATTAAATGAATCTCTCCTCAGAGCATATGGTGTAGAGAACATGTCATGTTTGAGAAATATGGTTGGCTTCTAATCTTGATTTTTAATTTTGCGACAGAATAATAATTTGGCACAGCATGTAAACCTTTTCTTTCCTGTTAAGTACAAATGTTTTTTCTTGCGAGACAGAAAAAAATCTCTTTCAGAAAGATCTAGTTTTACCTTGCATATCTAATGGAAATTACTTTTTGTCTCAGTTTTTCTGAACTACAATTTGAAATTAATGTGGCTGTTTTTATTTCGTATTAATACTAAAATGCGTGATGGAAATTAAAAATCCAAAGACTCAGCTATTCCAGTTTTATCAGCTGAATAGTATCTGGTTGGTATAATTGTTACTAAAAAGATGATGATGGATAGAAAGGATTCATTGTTGTATACACCAGAAATTTACCTTTGTGCATGCTGTTCCCCTGAGTTCGTACTGATGTTTATTAATCACACCAGGGTCCAGGCTGGGTGATGGAGAGATGCAGCACTAATCTAGCTGCACAAAGCAGTCTAATTCTGTTCATGCTTCTGGAAACATCGGGTGAAATCCAGGCATATCATTGGAGGTCTGCCACTGATTTCAGTAGAGCCCAGATAGTGCCTCTAGTTTGTCCTGATTTTCAGCAGAAGTAGTGGCATTATGCTAGTTTACTAGTCAGTAAGAGAAGGACCTTTACATATTGTTTTGTGCTTTTCCTGACTCACTATTTTGTTAGGAAAGGGTCCCAGACCGAGATTCAGGGAGGTGAGGAGGAGAGTTTCCCCTGCTCCGGCTTCCACGATCCCAATACTGCGCGGGAAGAATCTCAGTGCAGCCTGCCGCCCGGCTGTTCAGCTCTGCTGGGCGCTGTGCCATCGTGTTGCCGAGCCAGGATTTTTCTCTGAGGAAATAAGGGGATTATACTTTTAAGGGGAAATTTAAGAGGATTGCAGATTTAAGAGATGGCCAAAGGGGCACGTTTATAGCTTTTTAATTAAAAGATATTTTGGCTCGAAGGCCAGAAGGATTAAGGATTTGGTAAAACCAAGTTAAATGTCAAGCACAGGGTTAAACCACAAATTACACATATTTCTAATGGAACTTAAGCCTTCTAACTTATTTTTTATGAAACTAAGCAATCCATAAAGCTTATTAAGGACATTTCCCATCATTCTTCCTCTTTAACCTCTCCTCCTCTCTTGCCCATATTTATGTCATACACAAATGCATTTAGGTCCAACACAAGAATTTAGATGGCCAGTATTATAGAAAGGGAGACATTTAGCAGACCGCTTTATCACATTTACATTTTTGAAAAAAGAAACTTTGATTTGATGAGAGTAATAACTGAATCTACATTTTCTAAGCATGGCTACATTTAAATATTTAAATAGCTAGTCTTTTCTTTTTTCCTTTTTTTTCTACTTATTTTATATGATCTGCAGTATATGAAAGTCAAAGGGAGAGGTAAAGTATCGATCAGATTAAATAACAGAACATCTCACAGGCCTAATGCAAAAAAAACAAAACAAAACAAAACAGTAGTTCCTAATTCTTCTCTGTAAACCTCTAACCATTATACTGTTGAGTCATGTAACATTATTTTGAAGTGAAAGCGAAGGTGTTAAGTCAAAAGAAGTAATTTCAAGTTTTTAATTATTCTACAAGTTATGCCCTACAGCACATTTTCTTAAAATTGTACCTTTTGTTCAGCACTAAGCTGCGTGAATTACTTGTAAGTGAGGCAGATCAATATCTCTGAATGTCTTACAAATAATAATTTAATTCAACTGGGAGTTTTTTCTGTTGTTGCTGTTCATTCACCAGCATTTTGTTCTCACAGTGTTAATAGCAAAAATCAGCTTGTGAAAGGAAAGGTCTCTTATCAGACAAATCTGTGAGTTCAAGGACAAAGCTAATAGAGGCATGCTGATGCTACCACACAGTTGTTTCCTAACATAGCAGCCAGAACTATCTTGTGTTGTGCTGTGGTTTCTGATGTCTAGTGTCACTGGAGATGTCACACAGTATCTTACCAGTTCTACTGGTCATCAAGAGCAAGTTCATTGAATCTGTATCATATTAATCATTTCCACATAGGCGCCACACGCTAGATTTGCTCTAGAGCTCAGTAGCGATAAAACTAGAAACAAGAGCCTACCCACTAGAGAAGTTCTTAAAGCATTAAGGAAAGTTGGACCATTGCAAATAGCTTTGTTGTTAGGCATCTGATGTATTAAAAAAGGGTGGGGAGACTGCTGCTGATATACTGACACCCATGTCATGTACTTGCACATACATGCACATATACGCTCGTCTGGATGCAGAATTATTATCCGTATGATCTACCTGAAAATGAAAAACTATTTTCAATACCCAATGCTTTCTCATTTACCATCTCAGTACTAATTTTTACTTTGGAATGAAGGCACTGAAAACGTAATGAAAAAAGATTTTAAATAATATTTAACAGTTGCTAGCATCTTGAAGCTTTCAAAATGTGAAGGAGGATAAGTGAAAATGAATATTTCAGGATTAGCATTGCAAAATCTTACAGGAAACATGTCCTGTGTATCACAGATGTCTGTGTCTGCTTGTGGGTTCAGTAAACTGTATTGTATTGTTTTAAGGTAAATTTGTTCAGCTAAGCTCAGTCGGGAGAATCTATAAAATTATCTATTTTGAATATTTTTTGAAAGTATCAACATAAGGTTAAAGGGGAAAGCACCCAGGGGCAGAAGATGTAAAATACTGGCTTGGCAATTATAACATTCTCTATTTTCCTGAACTCCAAACCCAAGATAAGGTATAGTGTCCACTGCTTCCTTAAATTAATGCACCAAGGGATTTATCTTAGGACATTGCCCTACCTTCAGCACCAGGTGTCTGCTTGCATATAGTTTGATCCAGTGCTTGCATCAACTCACTGGGACTGTCTCTAAGCCCTGTAACCACAGTTTGCTGAATGACACAGGGTAAGTCACTGTCAGCTGGGCATGGCTCTGCTCTCTCATTTATGGCATTGTTCGTGTATCCAGAACAACATTAGGATTTACCCTGCTGTAAAAAACAGTAGCTTTTGACCCTATGTCTCCACATGCTTATGTTTGTAAAGTTCTGTTACCAATCCTAAAGCAAAAATGTTGTCAGACCTCTTTATTTGTGAAGTCCTTTGATCATATAGAATGAAAAACATCTAAAAATGTGTTCATTCACTATTTGCTCTCTCTGAGGTTTTGAATAGATGGTACAGTCAGGCTTACTGTCTTTTGCTTTCTATTTTAACACAGGTTTAGTTCAGATTTCTGGCTACTGCTAGCAGTCAAAGATTCTGACATTTCCAATGCAAGTGTTCCTGTAGCTTTTTTATCAGTACTGTTATGAATAAGGTAAAGATACAGTTGAACTGAAATATTTTTTAACCTTAGGAAAGCTGATGTTCTGTTATTAAACACAGAAATGATAGAATTACTGTCTCAGAGGAGGAATCTCTGTCTTAAAAACTTCTGTGGGATGTGTCTTCCCAGGTTGCTTGACTTCTGGAACTTGATCATGAAGGTGACCTGTTCAGAAGCTTTCTGTCCCCTTTAACACAAGGGACAAAGCCTTCTAGTACCACATTTTCTGAACATAGATTTTGTATATTTGTAATCTCTTACCTGAGTTTTGATTTGACACTTTCTTATTTTCCAAAAATACCTCATAATGAGTCACAAGTCCAGTCAATTATTTCCCAAAGCATTTTTCTTCTTAAGAAAAATGCTAATGGAACAGCCTTCCTTGTATGCCAGTTAGTTTGTCCCTCTCTTCAATTCAGCTGTAATTTAGGAGGCTTGAATCTTGTTCCAAGTCGTGTTTGCAGTTGCACAGGTATGTCACTAATTTAATTGGCATTACTTTAGTTTTACTTTGGTACAGCT